ATCCAGGAATAATGCGAGCACCAGAATTTGAACCCTGGTGGGTTAGGGATACCACTGTCCACCTAACCATCTTAACCACAGGTTAGTTCGCGTTGTCATCATGTGGTCAGTATACAGCTTTGGGACTGGGACAAGGGCTGGGAGTGCATACGAAATTTTGAGGAGTCCCATGGTGCAAGTCAACTAAAATTTAACCCAAACGACCCCAACAGTTTTGCTAGTGCAGTATTTGATTACTGGTTCTCATGATGAAACTGCCAGGGTCTGCTCTTTCAAGAAAAAAATTAATGTGCTAATAAAGTGCATGTATATTTGCTAATAATGCACTTTTTCTGAAATTAGGTTTGGAACCTGCAGACGAGAGAGATTATCTATAAACTTGGAGGTTTCATGTCTTCGGTTACTTGTGTGATTTCACATCCCAATATTCCACTATTTATTACAGGTACAACAGAGGGCGCTATTCATTTGCATAGCGCAACAGATTTCAGGTAATCATTACTAGAGTATGTCCTTATGAACACACACACACACACACACACACACACACACACCTTCGGTCTTGCCACTCCTAACATTTATGTGTGCTAAATGTGTACAAGAGATGTCTCGTTTTGCATCAGCTTACGAAGGTTACATAAATAATTTTTATATTTATGGGGAAATTAGTAAGCGCCTTCATATTCCACAGGCTTAAGAAAATCGTTGACATTAATGGTTATGGAGGTGTTCATCGTCTTGCATGGTTGATGGAGTCAGGAAGGTAATCACTATTTATGTTTTTCATTTGGTGTTTTAATGCCTAATGGGCATTCGTTCACTGCATGCCGTGCATATACAATTTTTTCTTTATTAGGTCAACTTTATGCATATATAGAGTTTTTTCTGGAGCGCTAACTAGGTCCATCTATTTTCGCCATCTATTTTCGTATGATGCCAAACATGTGAATCACGTATTCTTTATCTATCAGGATTGTGATTGGAACTTATCGGGCAGTATCTATAATGGAGATCCATGATGAATGACCAGATGCTTGCTAGGGCAGAAATGGAAGTTCCATACAAGCGCCGGTTACGAAATCCATTGTTTTCGGGCCTCACACCAAAGAAGACAATTAATGGGGAAGCTTTTTTTTTAACTTGGCTCGCATGTACGCCTCGAATGTGGTTTTGCTATGTTGCCACTTCTTTTGAACACATTTGATTTGTTTGCCAACTGATTTGGATAATCGGCTGCGATTTTACATGGGATTTATCACTAGATTAAACTATTTGGCACACATTCATCGATCATGTCAATGTTTGGTATTTTTGCTACTTTTCACACCATGTAGTACTGTAGGGAAAAGTAGCAAAACATGAATCGTCCATGGACAGTTGAACATGCACATGAACTGACTAAAAACTGAATCCCCCCCCCCCCCACTCCCTTCTATAGTAGTAAAACATGAACAGTTGGCCTGTGGTCAAATTAGTTAATGTCAACAACAAAAAACTGCATAGAAGAGTAGGAAGCATCAGGTGCTTGTGCTTGGTGCATGCTTGAACTTTTTGAGAGGTCTCAGAGTGCATCACTGTGGCAAGAAGGTTGGACGTGTGGTAGCGTTTGGTTGAGTTCCTGCAGCTTTATGTGGCCAGTATGGACCTTTTTATTGTTTCGAAAAATTGTAATTTTTGTGACCCCTTTGAAATATTTGTTTGTGACTTCCTTGCTCATCTCTTGGTTTATACTCTATAGGCTAGTTTTTTGTTTTGGCGAGAAGGATCAGATCAATATAAAGATTCACCGGAAGTACAGAACACATCAAACATAAAAAAATTAAATCGAGGTCCATGGACCACCGAACAACCACTGCCGCCGTCAGAACGAGTCGTCGAAGCGCTGTTGTCGCTGCTCCTATACCGTAGCCGGCCTGACCTTGTCGATGATGGCCAGAAGTCTTTGCGCCCGTGCCGCTAAGGACTAGTGCCCTGGAGCCGCAGTCGTCGTCGTTGAATCCTTGAATCGATCAGAAGAACCTGACACCAAATATCGCCGTTGCGCACGCACAATGAGAAATCCTAACCTGGCCAGCCTGAGGAGCTGGCAGGAATCTACGTCGGAGCTCTATCTAATCCGTCACAACGAACAAATTTGAGGAGGATCAGAGCCCAAAAGATTGACTCGAAGAAGAAGCGCCGTCATCCGTTTAAACGCCGCCCCTACAATGAAAAAAACAATACCTATCTACGGTCTGAGGCACTAGAACCCCCTCCCCGCCGCCGGCCGCCGAAGCGGGGGTCGGGCGGGGGGGGGGGCGAATCCATGGGCTCACCAGTGAAGAACGAGGGGAGGCAAATTTTCCCTACCCGCCTTGCGAGAGGGAAAGAAAAGCTATTGTTGCCTGCAGGAAGTGCGAGTTGACAGGTAATAGTACTCAGCTGCATACATTGCTTCATCACATTCTTTTTTTTTTAGCATTAGTACAGACACAAGCGCTCATATACACGCGCATACACTCACCCCTATTAACGCGCACACACACACCCTACCCCTATGAGCACCTCCGAGAGACTGAGCCGGCATATCATCTTGAGATTTACGAAGTCACCGTAGGCGCCTCGTCGTCGACGGGAACGTCTCCTCCCACTGAAAGCGCATCGCCGGAAATCCTGAAATAAATCCAGGAATAATGCGAGCACCAGGATTTGAACCCTGGTGGGTTGGGGATACCACTGTCCATCTAACCAACTCAACCACAGGTTGGTTCGCGCTTCATCACATTCTTGTAATCTAATTGCGTGTACTAGATACCCCTGGTCCCAAAATAAGTGTCTCAACTTTGTAGTAACTTTAAAGTTTGTACAAAGTTGAAAGTTACTACAAAGTTGAGACACTTATTTTGAAACGGAGGGGGTATATTGTTTGAGCTCGAAAGCATATTGACAGTGTAAAATTTTACAAAATTCACACTGTTCAAAAACTTGAGATCGGACAGGCTTGACAACATATTCATACAGCACAAATCTTTGCACGCACCGGGGCGCATTCATCCAGTACAAAATATACAAGGCTGAATCCAACGCTAGATTTCTCCTATTTTTTGCTTTCATCCAGTACAACATATTTATGTTTAATTCTCATATCTTGGTTTATACTCTATAGGCTAGTTTTTTTTCTGGCTAGAAGGATCAGATCAATATAAAGATTCACCGGAAGTACAGAACACATTAAACATAATAAAAATTAAATCGAGGTCCATGGACCACCGAACGACCACTGCCGCCGTCAGAACGAGTCGTCGAAGCGCTGTTGTTGCCGCTCCTATACCGTAGCCGATCTGACCTTTTCGATGATGGCCAGAAGTTTTTGTGCTCGTGCCGCTAAGGACCAGCGCGCGCCCTAGAGCCGCAGTCGTCGTCGTTGAATCCTTGAATCGATATGAAGAAGCTGACACCAAATATCGCCATTGCGCACGCACAATGAGAAATCCTAACCTAGCGACCCCGAGGAGCTGGCAGGAATCTACGCCGGAGCTCTATCTAATCCGTCACAACGAACAAATTTGAAGAGGACCAGAGCCCAAAAGATTGACTCGAAGAAAAGCGCCGCCATCCGTCTAAATGCCGCCCCTACAAGAAAAAAAAACCTATCTATGGTCTGAGGCACTAGAACTCCCCTCCCCGCCGCCGCCGGCCGGAGCGGGGGTCAAGAGGGGGGGGGGGCGAATCCATGGGCTCACCTGTGAAGATCGAGGGGAGGAAACGGGTAATAGTACTCAGCTGCATACATTGCTTCATCACATTCTTGTAATATAATTGCGTCTACTAGATACCCCTGGTCACACTTATTTGTCACACTTATTTTGAGACGAAGGGGGTATATTGTTTGAGCTCGAAAGCATATTGACAGTGTAAAATTTTACGAAATTCGCACCGTTCAAAATCTTGAGATCGGACAGGCTTGACAACATATTCATACAACACAAATCTTTGCACGCACCGGGGCGCATTCATCCAGTACAAAATATACAAGGCTGAATCCAACGCTAGATTTCTCCTATTTTTTTGCTTGGGTTATCTAAAAAAAAAACTCGAGCCCTGCCATGTTTCTTTTAGGGATCCTTGCCATGTTTGTAAATTGTAATCCTTGCAGGAAAAAAAGTCAGAATCCTGTGAGGGCCGATTCGCCTTGCAGGTGTTGTCGGGCCAATTTCACCCCACGTGCTTAACACACCGAGCCCATTGCCCTGCTCTGCTCTCGTGCTACCCCGAGGCGTCGCTTCCTTTTCATCCTCATCCCCCAATCCGACGCCGGCGACGGCGGAGGGGAGCAATGTACTAAATCAAACCCAAATCCAAATGTGAAGTCTTCTCTGTTTGGTTTTCTTGATCCCTACAGATTTTCCAGGTTAGTGCTTCAGCCCTGATACAGACCTTGTGTTTTGAGTCTACTTTTGACTAGCAGAATATGAGTTATATGTCCTAAAAATTATACAATTGGATCCAGATTTGATTTTTTTTCAATCGAACTTTTATGACATAGAACTTGTATTTTATCAGTCAAATTTATTGTCAAAATTAGGCTCAAATTCATATTTTATTTTTGTAGAGAGGGAGTGAATTTATTCTGAATTCTATGTCGGCACTTACAGAACTGAAAATCAGATGAAATACCACCTGTTATTCCCTCGGCGCACGGAAGAGCGACGTCGAGGAAAGGACCTGGGGAGAAGAGTCAAGCGAGAGGATAAATGAGAGAAATGAGTGGATGGGAGGGATGGCTCCTGTATATCTATGTGGACCACTCAGTTTGGTTCACATTGTTTGAATGCATGGACCGGGATTCCTGGTTTCCAGCCAAATTAACCAGACCCACTCATATATTTCCACAGAACAGCTGCTAGGTTGACCCAGACCCAGCGTCTTCTTGCCCCTCTGGTGTGCCAACTTGGATGCTAATTTTCTGAGAAATTTCCTACACATCTTCCAGGTTAGTGCTTCAACTCTCAGTGGGATAGATGCTTTCACATGGAACCATGAACCTTATTTTAGTAGTCCTCTCTTCGACCTGGACGCTATGCTTCAGTTCCTCTGTTTCCAGTAGCCACTTTTCAGTAAGCGCTGCATCCCTGCATACCCTCCAGGTTAGTGGTTCAGCTCTCTTTTTTTTTCCTTCCATATGATCCAAAATGAACAGACTTCCACTATTATGATAAGTATGGAGCAAAGTATCTACTCCCTTCGTCCTATAATATAAGAACATTTTCTACACTAGTATAATGTTAAAAACATTTTTATATTATGGGACGGATGGAGTAGCATCTAGTGCAAAAGAAAAGCTAAAAGAATCAGAGTATACGGAGCTCTTGGTGGAACGATGAACCTAGAGCTGATAAAAGAGCTGTATAGATTAAGCTATTATAAATACTTCCTCTACAAACAAATATAAAAGCATTTAGATCATTACTTTAGTTATCTAAACGCTCTTATATTTCTTTATGCAGGGAGTACTAGAGAGTAAATTATTTTTCATAAGATTGCATTGCTGTTTCTGCTCGTCCATGATAGGTCTTCCAGCGATTTGCAGTCATCGAACGTGACAGCTGTCCCGATTTCTTGCTGTCTGTAGTAGCGTAGTACTCTACTGATCTCTCACATATGTCCAACAGCAAGCCGGCTGGCGGCGGTGGGGCGCTTCTTGACCCTTCCACCTCTCTCCTGAAGCTCATATCTTGTGCAACCCACATCAGTGACCCGCGGTGGCGCCCAAGTCTCACCCTTTCCTGTTGGCGCAAAACCCTAGCTCTAGCTCTCCTCTCTCTCTCACTGAGCTCTCTCTCACCCGACGTCATGGCGCGAACCAACGAAAGAGAGGAAGAAGATCAGAAGAGTGGTGGACACATGAGCTTTTCCGGCGCACAAACGCCTCCTTCACTACAGGAATAATGTAATTTGCCGTCTGTGGATTACAGACGGCAAAGGCCTAAAAACAGACGGCAAAGATTTTGCCGTCAGTCAGCAGACGGCAAAGTCAGACGGCAAAGATAAGTCGGCAAAGAGTTCTTTGCCGTCAGCATTTCATCGGGCAGACGGCAAAATCTTTGCCGTCAGCAAAACTCCAGCTTTGCCGTCAACCAAATAATAGCATACGGCAAAGAAAGGCAGCTTTGCGTCAGCCAGACTCTGTCTTTGCCGTCTGCCTCATACACACCAGACGGCAAAGAAAATTATTTCATTTAAAAATAATGAACCACCAGTGGAGGTCGTAGTTGCTCGATGGCGTAGGCAAAAAAAATTACAGCGATTTCACCATCTACAGTTCAAGACAACAGAATGGATTTTACAAGACTCGAAAATTCTATTTGCACAATATATCCATCATCACAATATTTTACATAGAAATACACTATTTACAATATGAAGTTCCCCATTTACATGACCAACAAATGAACGAATCAGCACACGTAAAAACTAGTACAATATTTCACAAAAAAGGACGCACTGGCCCTTGCCAGCGGTTAGATCCGAGCGTGAGCGTCGAGCTCGAGGCGGCGGATGGTGGTCTTGAGCGGATTTTATCATGGCAGAGGGGCGGATGGAGGGCGGGGGAGACGGAAGGAGAAAGGGGTGCTGCAGGGTAGCTCCGGCGAGCTCTTGACGAAGCTGCGGCGCGATGATTGACGAGCAGAGGAGCTCGAGATCAGGAGGATGCATGGGGTCGCGGTCAGGGAGGAGGATCCCGTGGCGGGGCGGAGAAGGAGGATCCCGCGACGGCCTCCTACTCGCACGACGGCGAGCTCTTGCGGCGCGGGCGGATCGAAGGGCGGCGGCAGTTGACGAGCAGAGGAGATCGGGATGGGGAGGAGGCGTGGGGTCGCGGGCAGGGAGGAAGAGGAGGACCCCGCGGCGAGGAGGAGGAGGATGCTGCGGTGGCCTCCTGCTCCGGCGGCTGCTCTGGGGGTGAGGAAGACGGGGCCGGCGACGGGAGACGGGTCCGGCAGCGTGCGGCTGCTCCGGGGCCGGCGACGTGAGATGGGGCCGGCAGTGTGCAGCTGCTCCGGGGGCGAGGGAGATGAGGCCGGCGTCGCGCATCTGCTCGTGGGCGACAGGCGATGGGGCCGGGACTGGGCGTGCAGGCTTCTGCTCGGGAGAGGTGAGACGAGGGAGCTCTCGGGGAACGGGGGAAGGAGAGATAGAGGAGACGAGTGCGTGGGTGGGGCGGGTCGTGCACGTGGGTGGGGCCGGTACTGGTGGGTACCTGGCACATGACTCGTGGGTGGGTGTGCGGCTAGGTCCGATGGATGCGGTCGAATTGGATCTGCGTTTTAGATCTTGCCACGTCATACATCCGCGTGATCGATCCGCGTGGTGTGTTTTCTCTTTGCCGTCTGTTAATAAAAATACAGACGGCAAACAACAAACTTTGCCATCTGCCTATAAGAGACGACAAAGAACTTTGCCGTCTGTTATATAGTAGGCAGACGACAAAGTTTATTGTTTGCCGTCTGTATTTTTTTTGAAAGACGGCAAAGCATATTTTGCCGTCAGTCTTTCTTTGCCGTCTGCAGCTAACGGCAAAATTGGTCTTTGTCGTCTGGCCCGAGAAAAAGTTGACGGCAAAGCCTCCTCCGGACGGCAAATTACCTGTTTCCCGTAGTGTTTCCTTTCCTCGAGCACGAACTCGACAGTGTCCATCTGTTACAACGCCACCATGCGGCTTTATACCCCGAGCCAGTGAACTGGGCGCACTCACGCCTCCACTCGCCCGCGATCTTTCCCACGTCCTGCATGCTCTGGCCCGTGCCCACACGCGCGCTTCTCGCGGTGAGCATCAACAGAACCTGCCCGATCGCCCCGCGTGGCTCGCCAACGATCAACACACACACTCACACCTACGGTGTTCCAGCACACAGACACGCCCGTGCACACCACACGCACGCACACACTCGACCCGCCGTGGACCCGATGCGCCCAGCACGCCTAGCGCGCCCATACACGCGCCCAACGTGACAAGCTCGTCGCCACGGCTTATTACACACAACACTTCCCAGGTGACTTTGCCAAGTCCAAGCACTGCTATAGTTATCTTCTAGTTACGGGCTTGTAGACCATTTGTTTCGGAACTCAGACCAGAAACGACCTTGCCATAGCCCGTACAAGACTTTGTGTAACTTCAGTACCTCGTGCTCTTCTGCTTGATGTATCCCGGTGACTGGTTCACATATAAACCTCTCCTTCTAACTCTCCGATCAGAAACCCGGTTTCCTCGCCGCCGCCGCCGGCTCCCCCGCACGGAGCCGATGCCACGACCGGAGCCTGCCATTGTCGCTACCCCTCCCACACTTCCCTACCCCTCCCCCCTCCCCTCCCTTCCTCGTACCACCGCGTCACCTCCCCGAGCGAGGCGACAGGGGGCCTCTTCCCCGCTTCTCTCCAGCTCTCGTCCATCGCCCCTGCCCCCTCCCGCCGCCATTGAGCGCCGCCGGGCCTCGGCCGCATGGTGCTGGCGGCGGCGGGCCTGCCTTTCCCGGTGTGCGGCACCCCCTTCTCGGACGGTGGTGGCTAGTGGCGGCGCTCAGCTGCGGGCATCAATGCGGCCCGTCAGTGGTGGTGGTGCCACGGGCCCAGTGGCTCTCGACGCGACAGTGCGGCCGTTGGCCGTGGGGCGGCGCGATGGCGATGTTGCTGGCGGGGCCCACCCAGCCCAGATCTGGGCGCATTTGGGCCCCATCTGGGTTGGGGCGGGTCGGTGGCTCGGTGTTCGGCGGCAACATTCCCTGGTGGTGGCGTGGTGGCGGCGGTCTTGGGCGGTGAGGACTTCGTTGGTCGGCGAGCTGTAGTGTGGTAACAGGTCTGTCCGAGTCCAAGTGGGCCCGTCCGTGCCGTCGAGGCCCGACAAGTCCTCGTCACAGCATTCGGCTGGCTCCGCTGCGGCGGTGGAGGCTATCCCCTCCCTCGGGTCGTGTTGTGGTCGCTCCCGTGGCCGGTGTCTCCTCTCCCTCTTCAGGTCTCGTGT